TTCTAATTTTTGCAATATTCCTCAGATGAAAGAAGGAAATTCTAGAAACCTCTTTGATGTGGGATTTAAATTGCAGCAACAATTGCACCAATATTTTGCCAAGTCCATTATCTGAGGCCATGAGAATATCATTAGTGACTTTCACCAGAGCTGTTTCAGTGCTATGATGAGCTCTAAAGCCAGACTGAAACACTTCAAAAAATTCATCATGGTGTAAGTGATCGCACACTTGTTTGGCAACTAGAAAGGAAGATTGGATATAGGTCTATAATTGGCCAAGTCATCTGGGTCAAGAGACAGTTTTTTGAGCAAAGGTTCATTACAGCAACCTTAAAATCCTTTGGTACATATCCCTGTAAAAGAGATAGATTAATCATTAATCTAAAATGGAGGAGATCAAAGGGAATACCTCCTTAAATAACCTGGTTGGAACTGGATCTAACATACAAGTTGAAGGCTTGGATGAAGACAATAATTTTACTAACTCAGAAAGTTCAACTGGATCAAAGCAATCTAAACCCGGTTCAGATTCCATGACTACCTCAGATGCTGCCCCACCCTTCAGAGACAAACCAATCATAGATAGAGAAGTGCTAATGATCTTATTTTTAATAAGATTAATCTTATTTATAAAGAATCCCATAAAATCATTGCTGCTAAGAGCAGGTGGAATGGACGGGTCAGCGGAGCTATTGCTCTGGGTGAGTTTGGCAACTGTATTAAAAAGAAATCTAGGATTATTCTTATTCTCCTCTATTAATGAGGAGAAGTATGCTGCTCTTGCTTTACAAAGGGTCCTCTTAAAAAGCAGTAAACTATTTTTTCAGACTAGGTAGGATTCCCGTAGGCCTATGGAGCGATATTTTATCTCCACTTTCCTATCATTTTGGTTCAAAGTGCGCAGCTCTGCATTAAACCAATGAGCCAGCTTTCTATTTCTTTTCAAAGGAGCTGCATTGTCTAAGGCAGTACGCAGAGAACTAGCAACCCCATCAACAAAGTTATCAAACTGTGAAGAGGAATAAGCTATGCTTTTGCACTCTGCAGCACTACTCAGCGACACAGAGGAGAGAGAAAGTGAAACAGATTCTTTAAAATTTATAACTACACTATCTGATAATGATCTGCTAAAATTTTGGGTGAGGAGAACTCTGTTAAAGGAATCCTGAAGGTTATTAGAAAGTGGTCAGAGAGGACAGGGTTGTGAGGAAATACTGTTATTTCTTCACATTCTATGCCATATGTCAGCACAAGATTCAAAGTATGAAGATGAGTTTGTTTGGGACTATTAATATTTTGAACAAAGCCAATAGTGTCTAAGATAGCATTTAAGGTGGTTCTTAAGCTATATCCTTCAATGGCAGCATGGATGTTAAAATCTCCCACTATGATGACCCTGTCAGTATTTAATACCAAATCAGAAAGGAACTCTGAAAACTCATCTAAAAATTCAGAGTAAGGACCTGGTGGATGATACAAATTTACAAAAAGAAGAGGTTTTCCTGCTTTGCAATTTGGATCAGGGAAATTAAGGGTTAAATGTTCAAAAGAGTTGTAAGTATTAACTGCCTCTGGAGTTAATACGTAAGTCAGACTGAAAGATTGTTGCTACTCCTCCTCCTCGCCCAGAACTTCTGGGTATGTGAAAATTTAAATAGCTTGAAGGAGTTGCCTCATTTATGCTCACATAATCCTCTTGCTGCAGCCAGGTTTCTGTAAGGCAACATAAATCAATGTGATTATCACAAATCACGTCATTAACTAGCAGACTTTTAGAGGAAAGATAACTTATGTTTAACAGACCACATTTAATTGTTTTAACTTTTTCCCCAATTGGAGTTATTTGGCAAACTTACACACCGAAGCAACACTAATTTTAGTGACCTCCGATCGGCGTAACCGGGTGTCATTACCGCCAGTGTGAATAACAATCTTACTGTATTTAACCTTATCCTTAGCCAGCAGTTTCAGGTAGGATTTGATGTCGTCCGTTCTGGCCCCCGGCAAACATTTGACTATGGTCCCTGGTGTCTCTAATGCCACGTTTCTGACTATGGAGCTGCCAATCACCAGAAAGGCTTCTCAATGGGTGTGTCACTGAGTGGTGAAAACCGGTTAGAAACGTGAACGGGTTGTTGGTGACCGGTGGGCAGAGATCCACGACTACGCTTTCTGCGTAGTTACCCAATCGCCTGGCTGCTCAGGCACTTTTGGAGGACAGCTACGTGGGGGGCCTACTTTAACTCCTGGATTTTCAACAGCCTGAAGCCTGGATTCTAACTCTGACACCCTCGCCTCCAAAGCTACAAAAATACTACACTTATTACACATCCCATTATCACTAAAGGAGGCAGAGGAATAACTGAACATCTGACACAGAGCAGGAGAGAGGAGAGGAAGAAGGAAGAGTTGGAAAAGAGTCAAGGGAGGGAGAGAGAGAAGCCATGGCGATGCTAAGCTAGCGCTAGCCTAGCTACTCCTTACTATCAGTTAGAGTTACTTAGATACAGAGATATCACAGAAAAAATAGCTTCAGATGGAGATTGTCTGGACAGTAACAACACTCAGTAATCCAAACAGGAAGGGAATGCGATACGTCTCACCAACAGCAGCAGCAATAGCCTCCTCCCTAAAGCCCAGCATACACCGTGCGATTTTCGGGGCAAATTCACAGTTTTGTGAATTTCTCGATCGGGCCAACTTTCAGCCTGAACGTGCTTCGAGAGTCGTGTAGTGTACAGGGGGTTACGAGCGGCGATCAGCCTCCTGATCAGGAATCGGGAGGTCAGGAGAATATCAAACATGTTTGATGTTCTCCCAACCCTCGTGGGAAAATCGCTCAGGGTGCTTGCGCAAAAAACAAAGATTCTTCTTTTTATTCTTCCTCTCAGATGTAATCACAGCAGCATTGCAGGGATGCAATGAGGGAAATGCTTCGTCTGCAAAATTGACGGACCGCAGCAGCCACGCCTGCTCAGCCACATTCTTTTTCCAAATACGTTGTCGCCCTTCCTTTCTAGGACCCTCAGCACAAAATTGCACAAATTGCCAAGGCAGCGCGGTTCACTATATTGAGCTTTATATCTCCCTTCTATTTGTTTGGCTTTAGGATAGAGAGCTACAGAGCAGCTCCATCTCACTGCGGAGCTGAGTCCGACATGGTTTTTATTTGCATAGTGTCAGCAGGTAGATTGGATCAGAGCGTCAGGCCGAACATAATCGTGAGCTGTGAGCTCACACTGTACGACAAAACCCTACGATTAGTCGTACAGTGTGAGCAGCAGACAGGAATGTTTCTGGGGCTGTTGGAGGAAGCAGAGTATGTGAAGTAAAAATAATGCCCAGACCATAAGACCTCACAGAGAGAGACCTCAGGCAAGGATTCAAACCCAGAACCTTTTTGCTGCAAAACAATTATACGACTAACTGCTCTACTCTGCAGCTAAAATTGAGTTGTGTTGTTGCTAATCTGTATCAACTGCAAAAACCTAGATATAGCATTACATCAGATATACAGCAAAGTTGCTGTCATGGTGTGTTTTAAAGGTCTGACCCAAAGATGAGAGAACCACTCAGAGAACCAGGAAAAATGGTTTAACAGGTTTATTGGGATGAGGGTACAGGGGAAGTGTGATCTGGAACTCAGGTAGCTGGTGATCAACGGTTAGTTCAGGAACCGTGGGAATCTTGGGAAACTAGGGAAAATGCTAGTGAAGGACTCACGTTAGGGGGGGGCTCTTCTCTCACTAGCATCCAGTCTGTGTGGGTTGATCAGAGAAGAGGGAACATGTTGAAGCGTCGACAGGTGGACATTCTTTGGACCCGGAGGAGCACTGGAGCGGACTGTCACTTGGATTTCCGTGAGGGACTTGAACGGTACATGTGGAGGTTTCTCCCCTGCTCGGTGTGAACTCAGTAAACAATCCAACAGCACATATGGAGGTTTCTCTCCTGCTCAGTGTGAACTCAGTAAACAATCCTTCCAGGGGAAGAGGGCCAAACATTCAGTGCAGGAGGACGTCCTGCCAAAGGCAAAGACAAAAAAACAAGGTTAGACCCAGAGAGACAAAGACTCAGTTTGACTTAGTGAAACAAAGACTCAGGTTAGGCTCTGCTAATCTAAGCATGGCTAGAGTACGCAAAACTGGCAAACACTCTGGCCTCGAGGTAGTGACAGTCCACTGCTTAAGTACTCCTCCAGATAATGATCCAAAGAGCCGCAGGTTGACCAACAAGGACTCAGGGGTCTCTGGACCCTAAAAAAATTTATCTAAAAAATAATTACTGCATTAAAGTGTTGATACCCAAAACTTCTATAAGAGCAAGGTATTAAAGTATTTGTACTTGACACCTATAAAAGGGATGGATGTCAGGAAGCCAATGTAGTTTGTTTTTATTAATGAGCTATTTTTGTATCTTTTAGAACCTCTTCCTTCACCAGGGAAACTTTTGGAAGTCGATGCAAAAATTGTGGGAACTCCCCAGTGCAATTGTGATTACAGTAACACAGATGTTGATTCAATTACTGACAACATGATATGTGCTGGGTTTCGTGAAGGAGGAAAGGGAACTTGTTTGGTAAGTCCTAAGTATTTTCAGCATTTTTTCTTATTTTCTGCTCTTGTTTTTTCCAATAACCTCCAATTATCTTAAAGGGAGATTCTGGAGGTCCACTTGTGAGCCAACAGGGTGATCGCTGGATTCAGGCTGGAATTGTGAATTTCGCTGTTGGTTGTGCTAAGCCCAAATTCCCAACAGTCTATGCCAGAGTATCCCAGTTTGAGAGCTGGATTAAAAGCCACATCACCAGAAACCAGCCAGGCTTTCTCACTTATGTGTCTAACAACACAGAGGATGTCTTAAACATTTCCTGTACAACTCCTGCCCTGACCTCGACAATAAATATATCTGAAGGTCAGTAGCCCCTGAAACTGATATGAAGCTGTTTTTTTAGGGTTCGTTAACAATTGTCAAGACTTAGATTTAGACAAACTTTATTGGCATTTTGTTGACACAGTGTATACAAAACTAAATGTCATTTATAACGCTTGCCAACAGGGAATGAGCAGCAGCTTACCAATGAAAATGAATACTTTCATTTATAAAGTACAGCAGTGATCAAAATGCAAACAGTTCAGGAGAGACATGGTGGAAAAGGTATTGATGTGGAAGGTCCGGGAGCAGTGCAAAAATGGATGAATAGATATGGTAGACAATGCAGTAGAAACACTGAGTTGGGTTCTATATTGGAAATTCACCATGTAGTGCAAGTCTGATGTTTTCAGTGCGATGCAGAGTCTGGATTTATGACTTGATTAGAGTTTCCAAACAGTATGCTGGGCGTGTGTAAAGGACTAATGATAATGAGGTCATATCATTATCTTTTGAATAAACAAAATTATGAAAATCATTTAAAGGGGAACACCGTTTGTTTTACATGATTTTACGTCATTGCATCATGTACCCATATTAGTTTTGTGGCATTTGGAGCTGTTCTGAAGATATTCGGTTTTGTAATCCAAGTAACGTCTTCCTATGGGCATTGAGTTAAAGGCACAAACTAAACTGTTCATAATTTATTCTTTATGGTACGCCAGCATTCATAACATGTAGGTGAATCACTGTACTCCAGACATCTGTGGTTATATTTTTTATATTTATATATTTTTTTAAACAAAGCGGAGTGTGTATGATGTCATCTGCGTGAGCTGGCTACCACTCATTCATCCTGTCTGCTGAGCTGCTGCTAGTTTTACTTACATGCCTGGAAGATGTCTAGTGCTACTATCACAGATGATCTCAGTCTTGAAATTTAATTGAATGATTCAGATTAGCTAGCCAAATGAATGGAAGAGGTAAAGTGTAGCTGCCTGTGGCCCGGGCTGCCTGTCACAACTCCAGTCCGGCGCGTGGATGACTGGAGTTGTGCCTTCAAGTTGTTGCCGATAGTGTCATGATGGGTTAAAGAGTTAAGCCCAAAATGCAGAACACACACGGGAAACTGGGTAAAAGTCCAAAAGAGTTTATTGAAGCACAAATATGAATAAGGTACGGGAACTGGTTCAGGCAGGGGAGCAGATTCACAGGAGAACTGTACAGGGACGGGAGATGTAGGTTAGCAGAGTTCATGTGAAGCTAAGCATCTAGCTTCAGGCTTAGCATAGCAGGCCTTGATCTGAGCTTCCAGCTCACTGCAGAGAACAACAGGGAACATCCACATAGGATTCTTCAAGGTTGAGCTTCCAGCTCTTAGCAGAGAACAACAGGGAACATCCACATAGGATTCTTCAGGGTGAATCCACATAGGAACCTTCAGGTTGGCTCACCAGGGCAGATTAGCAGGTTAAGCTCTCCTAGAGCTTCAGGCTTGAGACTGGTTCCTGTGATGTAGCTCTCCCAGAGCCTCAGACCAGAGACAGGGTTCCAGTGAGGCAGCTCCTCCTGCGCTTCAGACCAGAGACAGGTTTCCAGTGAGGCAGCTCTTCCTGAGCTTCAGACCAGAGACTGGTTTCCAGTGAGGCAGCTCTTCCTGAGCTTCAGACCAGAGACAGGTTTCCTGTGAGGCACAGACAAAGGAGAGATTAGAATCAGATCTCGCACTAGAGACAACCAAGATTCAATCTGTAACAGAAGGCTCAGGAAGCTAACCTACTAAGATCAACACTGCAGGTCAGGCAGGAGCTTATAAAGGAGAGGTCTTCTGATGAGAGGATTAGCAACAGGTGTGCAGGAAGATTCCAGCCCTAGGGGAAAAATACACAGAACAGAAGAGGATCCTCGGCGCCCTCTGGTGGGCAAGCCTGAGGATCCCAACAGATAGGAAGACGTTACTTGGATATAACCTACCGGAATATCTTCAGAACAGCTCCAAATGACACAAAACTCATATGGGTGAGTAGAACATGATGTAATAACATATAATCAAGGGGCCAATGTAAAAAAAAAAACGGTGTTCCCCTTTAATCAACTTTATTTGTTCAAGTTTTTTTTTAGAAATAAAATAACCATCATGGCTTCAGTCACATTTAGTGTTCTATCTACCCAGCTTAAACTCCCTGTTCTGTTTCTTTAGATTTAGAATACGCAACATATTTCAGCCTCATCGTGCGTCTCATGTCTTGTAGAAACGAGGGGCGATCAGCCTCTCAAGATCGATCAGGAATCGCAAAGTCCGGAGAAAATTAAACATGTTTGAAATTCAGTTGACCGATGTTCATGACCAAATCCTGCCGTTGAAGCAGAGCTACGAGCCGATTTACCAGGACCTCTAATATTGTGCATGTGTAAACAACAGAGTTATTTTTCTTCTTCTTCCAGATTGACAAGTTCGATCAGCGCCATCTCTCAGCGCTGAGTCTGGGGTGTAGTTTTTGGACATGGAGTGTGAGCAGTTAGAAAGCATCAGAGCATTGGGTTGTACAGTGTAAGAACAAACATTGTGAGCTGTGAACGTTTAAACCCTTCGGTTTCGTCGCTCAGTTTAAGCTTTGGCTGCGTTCAACGATTTTAAATATCGTACAGTGCATTTCCGAATTAAGGACACCACTGTGATGTGGAATCCCACAGGTGGATATATTGGATATATTTCAGAACAGATTCATTGAAACAATCAACAGCAAAGGCTATATGAAACTATTTAACATTAGTGTACAGAGAGTTTACCATTGTTGACTATTATACTGACACAACCTGGCCCCAGTTCAGTCTCACTGCTGCTACTTGGACATTGTTGTTTATCTATCACTGAATAGATAATGCTGTTTCAAGGGTTAACTGAATTTTTTTCTCAGTGTGTGGTCGACCATCACTTAACACCAGGATTGTAGGAGGAGAGGCAGCCCCTCCAGGCAGCTGGCCCTGGCAAGTCAGTCTGCACACATTTTCTTCTCACATCTGTGGAGGATCTCTGATTAATGACCAGTGGGTGCTGACCGCTGCTCACTGTGTCCAAAGGTAAGGAACAAAACAACCTTAGAACCAGAAAGGTAATGAGCTCATAACTTTGTGTTGAAGTAGAGGCTCCATGTGATAGTTACACATTAATGGTAAATGGTAAAATGGTAAATGGCATGTACTTATATAGCGCCTTTATTCAAGTTAGGAGACTTGACCAAAGCGCTTTACACTACATTCATTCACCCATTCACGCACACACTCACGGTGGCAAGCTACATTGTAGCCACAGCTGCCCTGGGGCTCACTGACAAAAGCGGGGCTGCCGTACACTGGCGCCACCGGGCCCTCTGACCACCATCAGTAGACAATGCAGGTGAAGTGTCTTGCCCAAGGACACAACGACAATGAAAGTCGGAGTCGGGGCTTGGACCGTCAACCCTTCGATTTCAGGGCAAACTCCTACATCCAACGCCACTGTCGCCCAACTAATCTTAAAGAAAACAGACTTAGATCTTGGTACCAGTGTTTAATTTAGGCAAAAAAAGATAAACCTATGGTGAGAACAAACAGCCAAATACCAGACAAGTTGAGTTTAGAAACTAGTCTGTGGCCGAGAATAGATGTTTATATGTAAATTATTAATACCTCCCCCTAACATTTGTTGCTTATCATATTGAACATAATGGAGCAGAAAACTTACAAATCAACTCTATAGCAGAAACCATCATGCTGAAACAGATAATCTACAAAAGAACACAGTTCTCTATCATCTCTGTGGGTTTGTTTTTTTTTATAAAACTTTTTGTTTTCTTTTGTTCTTCCACTCTTTTGACAGTCTGAGCACGTCACCATCTCTCGTGACAGTATATCTGGGTCGTCAAAGTCAGGAGGGATCCAATCCAAATGAAGTCATTCGGATAGTATCACATATCAATATTCATCCAGAATACAACTTTCTAAATGATAACAATGACATTGCACTTTTGAGGCTCTCTGAACCAGTAAATTTCACGGATTACATCTCTCCAGTTTGTCTAGCCGCTCCAAAAAGCACATTTTACAGTGGTGTTGACTCCTGGGTCACTGGCTGGGGAACCATTGGAAGTGGAGGTGAGTTAAAAACCAACTGTATACAAAAGACCACAAAACAGGCTTTACTTAGAGGAAACCGGACCATTGCTAAACTTTTCTGAGACGCGTTTTGACACCTATTCAGGAGGTGAAAGGGTACAGCTGAATCTTGAGTAAGAAATTAAATTAAAAGGAAGTTTTTCCCTTCCAGTGTCGCTACAAGTATTCTTAGTGTGAGGGATTGCCTTTGAGTCAATGAGTTGATGCAATCAACTGGTTTTCCTTAGATAGAAAACTTTGAATCAATTTGACTGTATGATCT